ATTTCATGTGGAAATAAGATGAAATTAAATAAACTAAACTAACTAAAAGTACACAATTAGAATTCTTTTATTAGCATTTACTAAGAAACAAGTCATAAGACAAACTTCTTGAATTTAAAAGCATGTCTAGAATATGCATTGCCAATTTTTATAATTGCTGTCTGCTTTACTTTGAAACTGGACCTCACATTTGCTACTTCCTTCATTTATTAAGTTCAGATCTCTTTTTTTTAGAAGTGGATCCAAGATAGATATGGCACACGAAGGAAAATGTGTAAGTATCACTGTTATGTCATTTAAAATTGAATTCTACATCTCATTCTGATGTGAAACATGTCTTTTTACACATTTTTTAAAAGAAAGTTTACATTGTATTTCAGATGCCAAGATTGCTTTTGTGTGTATATATAATATATATGTGTGTGTGTATATATATATATGTGTGTGTGTGTGTATGTGTGTGTGTGTGTGTACTGATCTGCTTCTGAGTGCAGTTCAAGGTGTTGGTTATTACCCTAACCCGTTATGACATCGGTTCAATGTATCTGCCAAACTGTCTTTTCCCAATGGGATTGGCTTGCCCCACTCATACTGGCAGAAGGGATTTACTGAGGATTCCCCTGCCAAGGAATTTTGGCTGTGGGATCCAGAAGTGTTTTTTTTCCCCGTCTGTTGCCCTTCGGAACATCTTATCAGAGAAGGTAGGATCTATCCCCTCTCTTTTAGCCCATAAAGACCTTAAAAGCTGTCTATGATAGCTGACATGAGGTCTGTTGGCTGGAGATGGTTGGTACGCTAACAAAAAAGGCATCTAACCTCTCCCCTCCATACCCTTATTTTTTAGTTTGTTTTACTTTTTGTAATTTTAATCCATTGTTACATTTATAATTATCGAATGTTTGTTTTGTCTGGATGTTAAGACTCTCAGAGTTGCCTGGACCATGAGATGGGCAGCAAATAAATTTGATAAATAAACAAATATACAAATAAATAAAATTATGGGATGAGAAGGGGCCCAGTATGAAGGAACAGGAAGGCAGATCTGGGCAGCTGTCCCCTGCAGATTGTTCAAAATAACCAAAGAGCATTTGTTAAAACTGTCTGGAACATCTTTGTAGGTTGACTGCAGTAAATATCCACAACCATCGAAGGGCACGGCTGCAGATTGCCCACAAGACCACATGCCAGTATGTGGTACTGATGGGAGGACCTATCCCCACATCTGTGTCTTGTGTGCTAGAATCAGGTAAGCCCAGTGTAAAACAAAACTCAACTAAAGAAACATGAGACAATGAGTGTTGTACATGTAAGTAGCTTGCCTTTCCAAATGCACGGTCCCATTATGTTGTACTTACGTCTCCTCCCTATTCTGAGCATAGCTCTTTATCTGTGTAAAGTTCAGGATCAGTTGCAGCATGCTTGGCCAGGCATTGGCTGCATCCAATTTTGAGAGGAAAAGGTGGTCTAGACTCCGAGCGGCACCAGTGGGCCAAGCGTAATCCTCATTTTCATTTCCCACCATGCCTGCTGCATCACCATATAGCATTAGGAGAAATTAAGAAATGGTTGAATTCAGCCCACAGCAACCACAATAGGGGCTACTTCTTTTCACTGGCCCTTTCATTCTACCATTGCTATCTTGCCTGTCCACTGCCACTCTTATTTCCTTTATATGGTGAGTGCTAGTGAGCAAATCCTTTTCCTTCTCTTCCTTTTTCCCTACTTGTATCGCCTTCTTCTTATGCCATATCCGTTATCGGACGTTGGCGATCATGTTGGTGATCCTGTTTTTATCAGCAGTCGCACGAAAAAGTGCTGCTGAGTTTTGTCCAAACCAGTCCCTTAGATTTTGAAGCCACGATGTTCTTCTTCTGCCTTCAATCTTTCCCTGGAGGATTAAATGGAGTATGCCGTATTTTTCTGGGTGTCGCATCACATGTCCGAAATATTCTAATTTTTGTTTTTTAATTGTTTTGATGATGTCCCTTGGCTTTCCCAGGCGGTTTATCACCTCCTCATTTTTGACCTACTTCTATAGCAGCAGTTATTGTGGTACATACAAATAACTGCTATGCCTGCCAGTCACATTTGGCTGCAACTCTATTGACTAATGGCATAGGTACCACAAATACCACAAATTGAGAGTAAATATCCACACAGGGCAGTGGAACAGTTGGCGGTCCAGGATCCTCACTGACTGATTCTCAGGTTTTTAACTTGCTGCTTACTTTTGGAATGTACTGGGAGAATGTACTGAAATGGCTAGTTAGTGCTTCATTTTTGTATAGCATGGGTACCATTGAATTATTATACATATTGTCTCCTATTCAAATGAAAGCATTTGGGAAATTCCTGGATTGTGGAATCCAAATTTAGCCCCAAAGGTCCAGTTCTAATGGTACAGTTCCAATTCCCAGTCCTGCCAAAGGCACAATAGCACTTTGCCAAAAGACTACTCAAATTTGACACTGATCCTGTTCAGAAAGCTTTTTGCAAATTTATGTAGCTGTATTTTTCATCATGAATATGTGATTAATGTGATTTAGCCTCTAAAATTCTGTCCTCAGCCTATTCAGATAGGGTGGAAATGGGGTACAACTGCTCAAAAAGGCCTAGATTTATAACTCTACCTACCCAGTGAATATGGTATCAAATACCAGCAATGCCACATTCAAATGGAAGTGATACAGTTCTTTGGAATGCATGCCCAATCTGGTCAGATTCTTGTCAAACCTGACAGTGCCTAAGTGCATCAAACTAAGTTAGTTTCTCAAATTAAGACTTAAGTGAACTAACCATGATGATCTGGATTTATGCAGCATATTAAACCAAATACCACATTATGAGTTAGGAAGCTAAATAAATGAGGCATATCACACATAGCCATTGGTTCAGGCATGGTTTACAGAAGTGGCTGAATTCTTGTATAAAAATAATCCATTTAAATTTATAATGGCTGGTTTCAAAATCAATTTTTTTAAAAAATTACAGTATGGCAAGATGCAAACACTGTAAGAAACCTGATCACCAGTTCACTATTTTATACACACACACACAATTTTATTTATATCAGTTCACTATATTTTTATATATATAGCATTTTCTTTATGGAATTTCCTCCCGAAATCTATGCGTTAAGCAACCAACCCAATCAGTATTTTACCATTAGATAATAACATTGTTTTTATAGAAAAACCCTTCCTTCCTTCCTTCCTCCTCCCTTCTCTCTTTCCACTTTGCTTATATCTTATTGTAAGCTTTTAATTAAGATGCCATTATTTTATGCTATGCTTTGAAGACCATATGGCCAAAGTGTAGGATAGAAATACTTTTAGTCTTCAAGCACTTTCTGTATATCATCTTAGCAATATAACCTTAGCAAGGTTAGCCAGTACAGTTCTAGCCTTTAGTCATTCACACAGATTACTTCTCTGCTATTACAGGACAACTGGCCGTAAAATTGGCATCCGTCATGAAGGAGAATGCTCCCAAAAGGTATCTCCAGTTTTTCTTATTGAATGAATCTGCAGTGAATCTCCCTAAGATAGGAAAATGCTTATTTTGTTTGGCAGAATACAGCTTTGATCGCAGATTTAAAGATGTACTCATATGCTGTTTCTAAATTTTTATCAGTATTGATCTGAGAGACAGCTAGTTTGGTGTAGTGGTTAAGGCACTAAGCTAGAAATTGGGAGAGAGGAGAACTAGAAACCTTAGACATGAAGATGACTTTGGGCCAGTCGCGCTGTCTCTCAGCCTTAGGAAGAAGACAAAGGCACTCCATTTCTGAAATCTTGTCAAGAAAGCTAGACAGGGCTTTTCAACCAGTGGTACGGGTACCACCTGTGGTACATTGGCACCTGGCAGGTGGTACGCGACCATCCTAGAAAAGTGGTAGCGGGGGAGGGGAAAAAGCTGAACTGGTGGCAGCACTGCACAAGCCTGAGCGAGAGATGGCTGTAGCTGCAGGGCTGTCAGGGCTCAGCGGAAGCGCCAGGATCAGTGCCGCTTTCCAGCTGATTGGTGCTTCTTCGGGACTGTCAGGGCTCAGTGGAAGTGCCAGGATCAGCGCCAGGCTCCATCTGGAGCTCAGCACTGATCCTGGTGCTTCTGCTGAGCCCTGAAGAAGCACCAATCAGCTGGAAAGCAGCACTGATCCTGGTGCTTCTGCTGAGCCCAGAAGAAGCGCCAATCAGCCGGAATGTTGCAGCATCTCCAGGGTCTTGTGATTTACATTCAGATGCTTGGCAACTGATTCATATTTATGATGGTCACAGTGTCCCAGGGTCATGTGAAGTGACCAAAACCTGCTGCAACCACCCAGCAGACAGGGGGGAATAAAAACCAAACACCCCCCACCCCACCCCCACTGCCAATCCTCAACAGAAATGCTCACAACAATGAAAACCTTGGACAGGAGGAAGAGCACCACCGGGTGGGCAGGCAGGTGTCTTGCTCGGCTGTGGCTTGGGGGGCACTTTTTTCAGTGCCATTGTAACTTCGAACAGTCACTAAGTGAACTGTTGTAAGTCGAGGACTACCTGTACTTTATCACTTTTTTTCCTTTTTTCTTTTTTGGTCATCAAGTTTTTGACACCTTGCTAGACGACTGGTGGTACTCGGATGTTGCCATATCCTAAAAGTGGTGCAATAGGTGAAAAGTTTGAAAAGCCCTGAGCTAGAGTATTTCAGGCAGTTGTGAAGAGTTAGACTAATTCAGAGGCCTGCATAAATAAATATTTTTTTAACCATGTTTGAGAAGTCATGTTGATATGAAAAATAAGGGAGGGGGCACGGATAAAAATTAATGGGATGTGGAGCTACTACATAATAGCTCTATTTCTATTGAGATGCTATTACTTTCAAGTATCAAGGAATGAAGCATAAATGCAAATGCATTTTTTAAAATTAAAATATTTGGTTTCTTGATAATGAGGATTTCTAATAGTTTTTTATTTTTCTTTCCTCCTTTTAGGAATAGGAGACTAAGTGCTAAGTTGAATGGGCCATGTTTAAAGAATGAAGAGGGTTTTGGAAACAAACTCTTGGTCCAGTTTCTATCTAATTGACAATAAAAAGCTGTTGACTTACAAATTCAAATATCTAGTATTTCTTATTTCTCTGAATAAAAAAAATAAAAACCTAAGTGATCAACTGATTTTTCATATTGACACAACTAACATAAATGTGTGCAGGATGAGGGTTAGCAACAAAATGTGAGTCTCTACGTGAATTCTGTCCTTTATGTACTAGTGTATTATGTTGTGAAGCAAATAATGGAGAAGCTTGCACTGTAATGTCATACATTTAAACATTTTGGCTTCATCAGTGTTAGGAACAGGCAGCTATGACAAAAACACATGGTCTGGAGACCTATCATTCAAATTGCCCCAGTGTCACATATTGGTAGTTCACAAATTGTGTTCTTGGCAGTTGGCCTTGTGTCAAATATGTATTATACGGGGGGGCCTTAACAATACTATTTTTCATTTATAACCTTCTCAGGTTTTCCTACATATTCCACGCACATAAACAAGCACTAGAAGGGAATAGACCGAAGAAAAAAATTGATAGGCTTTTAAAACTTCATGCTTAGATGCTTATCACTCAGGATTCAGAGTTCTCCCATGCCACTATCTGGGGATGTTGATATATATTATTAGGAGCAAATTGGAACACCTTGCCTTTTTTTCATGTCTTCCAGAATTACCAAACCACACATTTTTTAAAAAAAAGTGGTTCTACGATTCTAATTTAAACCAATTTAAAAAGGACAAAAATGTCAAAAGAAAATCATTATTCCTCATATCAAAAACTAACATTGGAGTCAGACAGACTTCAGGTTGTAATGTTTTATAGTATGGAAGCAAAATGGCCTATTTAAGCTTAGATAACAGTCTGACTTCAGACTATGCATATGAATAATGGAAACGTGTTATCAGTGAACAACGTAACTATACTGTTATGATCTGTATAGATTCAGCATGAAAATAAATGGTCTATTATACTTGGTCCCAAGTTGATCAGGGCTTTCGGTTAAAGTTGACTATCTTGAGGTAAATATACTATATTTTATTAATAACTCTGATTTCTGGGCACCTGACCAGTTTTCCCAACTTTCATTTCAGCTCATCAACCATAGCTGAAGAGTTTCACAAGTACAGGTAGTCCTCAACTTACAACAGTTCATTTAGTGATTGTTCGAAGTGACAACGGCAATCAAAAAAGTGACTTATGACCATTTCTCACACTTACGACCATTGCAGGATCTCTATGTTCACATGACCCAAATTTGGACACTTGGCAACTGACTCAGTCAGGATCCCAGGGTTATGTGATTGCTTTAAGTCAATGGGGAAGCCAGATTCACTTAGCAACAGTGTTACTAACTTAACTGACTTACAGTGATTCACTTAACAACTCTGACAAGAAAGGTCATAAAATGGAGCAAAATTCACTTAACAAATATCTCACTTAGCAACAGAAATTTGGGGCTCAATTGTGATTGTAAGTCGAGGACTACCTGTACATACAACAATGGGGTGAAAGACTTAATAGAGCATTAAAGAACACCAAAAACAGTCAACCAGCTATCAATATCCCTTCTACAAGGGAATTCATACCATTGCTTCTGGAAATCCTGAGAAAAAGCCAGGTCTTCATGGCCTTCCAAATATTTGCAGGGTTGCATCTGCTCTAATTTCCAGGATTACGTTGTTCAGAAAAAGTGTAGCAATACCCTGAGAAAGGAATTACACCCAGAACAATCCCTCCCTTCCAGCTCTTCTTAAGTGGGAAAATCACCTTGAAATAGTTGCTGCTAGATATCCAGATGTTGTCACTCAGGTTGAGATATATTAGGTTTTAAAAGTGACAACTGGCACCTTGAATTACCAAAAGCTTACTAACAACTAGTGCAGCTCTTGCAGTAGAGGTGTCATTTAGACAAATCAGGTTGTACTCCTAACTACTGAGCTTGGTCTCTTTGTACCTGTTGTAGCTTTCAAGTGGTCTTCAGGGACAACCCCATATAAAATGCATTGCAGTAAGTCCAACCTAGAGGTCACTAAGGCATAACTAACCATAACTGAGCAGGGCCACCCAATCCAGAACCAGATTGCCTTCTGAGACAGAAATGGCCTACACATGGCTTTGTGAATTAAAATACATTACTCGATGTTATAAGTTAGCAGATCATTCCTAAAATTACAGGGCAAAGAAGCAATGGCTGATGTTCTAGTCCTGAAATTCAGAGACAGTTCTATTAGCTGTCTTGGGTAAAAGAGCAGCAGTAAAGAGCAGCAATAAAGTATAATGCTCACTATTGGAGTAAGCAATTCCCCTTTTACCTCAGAGTTACTCCTGAATATATCTGAATAAAACTATTTGTTTAAAAAATCAGATGAAAGGCAGAGCAGGCAAGGGATACAATCTATTTTTAAATAATGTCATTTTATTGTTTATTGCAATTAAGAAATCAATGGAATACATGAGAATACTTTTTTGCATTTTTCATTAGCTTATAAGATAACCTTTACTGTCACTGTTTTCTGTGAACACACTGGTACACATTAAAAATGAAATTCTGATGCTCCCTCTCAAAATAAGCCAAAAGGTTGAAAATCCACTCAAACTAACAGCACTATCCAGGACGGAATGCTTTAACCAAGTTTCTGTTGCAATGATGACACAGCAGTTTCTTACTTGCTGGTTTGTTATTAACTCTAGCTTATGAAACTTATGAAGTGCTTCCATTGACCTGTGTTTGTTGCACCAGCATATTCTTGATTAGAACTGAGTTTACGGACTTTTTAACCACATGCAATCACACCAGATGTACCTTACTCTATAGCTTATAGAGGACAGCAGTAGCTAAAAGCTCAGATTTATCACCAAGATAACAGAATTCAGCAGGCACACCAGGATATGATTCTGGATAGATCAATCCATTTTCTAGTGCCTCAAGGACTATTCCTTTCACTTTGTATTTTTGCCCATTTACTGTGGACACAAAAGCTTCCATTTTTATGCAATCCAAGGCATTCTACAAAGACCACTTTTTTAAGGGAAATTGGGATAAATTTTATTTTCAATCACTACCTTCCCAAAGAAATTGATTTTTGCACACCATGGTGCCAATAATTAGAGCTGTGACCACTTTCTGGAAAGGGGATGGCTGTCATTTTAGGGTCCAGGGATTGCAAATCAAGGCCTCTTTTGGCAAATTGCACCTGTATATTGTCTTCTATAAATGTAACGGCATTCCTAGCCCACCACCGTCATTATGCCCCCCTCCCCAAAGGAGGAATTAATGGTCTTTAAACTTGGCTTCTCTCTTCTCCACAAAGGCATCCATCCCTTCTTTCCGGTCCTCCGTGGCAAAAGTGGAGTGGAACAGCCTCTTTTCCAGCCGGTTGCCCTCGGCTAAGCTGAGCTCGAAGGCGCCGTCGACCGCTTCCTTAGCCATCGCGACCACCAGCTTGGAGTGGCGGGCGATCTTCTCCCCGCAGCTGATGGCTTCGTCCAGCAACTTTTCCACCGGGCAGACTTTACTGACGAGGCCGGCCAGCTTGGCTTCGTGGGCCGAGATCCGCTCCCCGGTCAGGATCATCTCCATGGCCAGCGACTTGCCCACCGCCCGGGTCAGCCGCTGCGTCCCGCCGGCGCCGGGGATGGTGCCCAGCAGGATCTCCGGCTGCCCGAACTGCGCCTTCTCGCCCGCGTAGATGATGTCGCACATCATGGCCAGCTCGCAGCCGCCGCCCAGCGCGTAGCCGTTGACGGCGGCGATGACCGGCTTTCGGATGCTGGCCAGGCGGTTCCAGTGGCCCAGGAAGTTGGAGCCGTAGCACTCCTGGAAAGTCCGGTGCTGCATCTCCTTGATGTCCGCGCCAGCGGCGAAGGCTTTCTCGTTGCCCGTCAGCACGATGGCGCGCACGGCCGGGTCCTGCTCCAGCGCGTCCAGCGCCTGGCTCAGCTCCAGCATCAGCTCATCGCAAAGCGCGTTCAGGGCCTTCGGGCGGTTCAGCTGGATCACCGCCACCCTCTGCCCGGCTCCCTTCTTCTCCACCAGCAAGTGCTGGAAGTTCGCTGCTGCCGACGCGCCCAGAAAGCGACGGGGCGGCCGAGCGGCCACAGTGGCCGCGGCCAAAGACAGGCGGCGGAGGAGCAGCGCGGTGGCCATGCTGGCGAGAGCAGCAGGACGCGGGGTTCCAGTCCAAGAGGAAGTACTTCCGGTTCCCGAGCGATACCGTCCTCCATATGAGGGGAGAAGTTCACATTGCATTTGCCCCGCTTGCTCTTGTTTGGATGCTCTTGCGAAAACATCTTTGTTGTTGGATGAAAGACGTTATACTAAACCACCGTTCATCTCAATAAAAACAAAAAAAGGAAAAGCAAGCAAAACGCATAAACCTCTCTGTCCAATTCCCTCTGCAGGATTTTTTTTAAAAAATGTTCTGACAATTGTTTCCGGGCTTTAAAATCAAGCTATTTAAGCCGAAGCCCCCTACCGAGGTTTAAAGGCTCAAGAGAGTTAAACGCTATATTAACTTCTTCTGATGCAATGCTAACAGTTTCAAGTAAAAGCAAAAATGATTTAAGATGCAAAGAGCTGCAATATCTAATGAGGGGGGGGGGACTGCAATTCTCCTTTAAGACTTAGGAGGATCAACAAACACGTGAAAGCTGGGTTTGTCTTTGCTACAATTTTGTGACCAGGTTGAAACTAGTGCAGGGGTAGGCAACCTCGGCTCTTTTATGACTCGTGGACTTCAACTCCCAGAATTCCTGAGCCAGCTTGGCTGGCTCAGGAATTCTGGGAGTTGAAGTCCACGAGTCATAAAAGAGCCGAGGTTGCCTACCCCTGAAAATGAGAGGAGCCAGTTTAAAGAGCAAAGGCGGAAAGGGAATGAGAACCTCCCAGCGGCAGCTTTTATAAATCTCTTTCCCTCCACACCTACATCTGGTATAGCGTGCCGGAAGTGAGGGTTGTGGAGCCACTCGTCTTTCGTCTCTCTCTCTCTCTCTCTGTCTCTGGTCTCTTTTGGGGAGGAGGGACAAAGTTTACGGAAGTTGTGAGGGATGGACAGGAAGCGGAAGTGTTGTGAGGCAGTGGGGAGGAAGCGTCTCCTGGGCTAGCTCGGATTAAGAGTCTCAATGAGGAAAGGTAGGCGACCGGGGGAGAGGTTGGGAGTTGGTCGGCGCCGGTACTCCGGGGGGAGGCCAGTTGACGGTTCGGCAGTCAAGGCTGTTTCTGCCGTTGCTTTCGAAGAGCTCCTACAGGAGACCTGTTTTGGGGGGGTCAGCGCTGATTTCCGACCTTCCCCCTTTCCGGGCAGGATGGTGATACACCCCAGAGATGGCAGCCGAAGGGAGCAGCCCCTCCGAGGATGGATAACGCTCTTAAATGACCAGCCAGGCCCTTTGACCCGTGTCTTGTTGGCCTGAGCACCGCGGCCTACTTATTATCGGCCTTGAGGAGCTGCCTTCCTGATTTGTTTAGGCCAGGGGTAGGCAACCTTGGCTCTTTTATGACTCGTGGACTTCAACTCCCAGAATTCCTGAGCCAGCCGTGCTGGCTCAGGAATTCTGGGAGTTGAAGTCCACGAGTCATAAAAGAGCCAAGGTTGCCTACCCCTGGTTTAGGCTTACACAGCTGTGGTTGAAGGTGGGACTTCGTCTGGTTGTTGACTTCCAGACTTGACAAGCAACTCTTTTGTGTCTTCCCCACTCCTGGTGTCTTATTCTTGAGAACAGAGATGGGGGGGTGGAGTCAGCTTTATTATAGTTTCCGTTGTTGCCCCCCGGAACACCAAATGACACTCTTATTTTTATTTCTTCCAATTAAGCTTCACAGAATATTGGAGCTCTTCAAAGGCTTGGGATGACCCACAATACTGGGGCAGCCACAACAGAGGAATTATACTTAGCACATGTATGATACCAGTTTTATAGAATTAGTGATAATGATTTTTTTCCCCCTTTAATACAGTAAAGGATTCTCACAAAACAAGTATTCATAATTACATGTTACCAAAATTACAGTTACTGGCTTCACATAATAAACTGGAATCCATCTGAGCGTAATCGACTTTGTTGTGTGAATTCAGCCCAAATGAAGGGGGAACTAATTAATTTCTTGAATTATGAATTTAAAAAAAACACCTGTGGTATATTCTGTAGTATAATTGTTGATTCCTTTGAATAATGCATTTCTTTACTCCGTTGAGTCTTTGTTAGACTGTGCGGTTCAAACACATGCAACGTTTTGCATACTGATGAACTTGATATACTGTATTTAATTTTTAAATTATAGGCTACTTCATGAAAGGCATGGCATGTTATCTGAATTGCATAGTGTACAGTTGTGGGAAGATTGTAAATTGGGAGACTTGTGGGAAATTATATATAGAAAGTTTAATTGGTGACAATTGTTACATAAAGTAGCCACTCGCATTTCTAAAACAATTTTATGGATGTTGACTTAATTATCCTTTGCTAAATTCAGTGAGATTTATTTCTAAGACAGCAGAAGAGTTGGTATATAACTTATAAGAACAAATATATTTTGAAATTTGCTATTCAGTTTTAATCTTTCATTACTTATGTTAGCTATTCTCTCTGAACTCTCTGGAATAAATTGTGATTATGACTAAATACGAATGCATGGTATTATTTGTTAAGAACTCAAAGGACTAAGCTAATAAAAATGTTTCCTTTGGTTTTGAATAAATAGAAAGCTAATTGTAATTCTTCACTAACTCTAATGATTTTTCACACGAGATGTGACTTGGGTTTCATTTACAAGCTGGTTTGTCCTAATCAGAAAGTGTCTTCCATTCTTATATCCAAATGGAAGATACTGTGCCTAGTGGAGAGTATAACACATCTTTCCAGAAGGCTGCTTTTATTTTTTGCATTGTGTTTACGCTTTGTGCAGATATAAGTCTTACATAGACTTTATATATGTTAATCTGAGTTGCCATTCAAATTGTTCACTTATTTTAATTTTCTCTTTCAGTTTTACTGTTCTTAGAAGTGGAGTACCCTATAATCTGCAAGTACAATAAAAATGGGGCCTAGACGGAAAAATGTGAAAGTGTATTCCACAAACCGGGAAAGCCCTGTATGCATTAAAGCTGCTGAGCTGAAAGACTACATGAACCAGCTTTCACATGAAGTGCTTTGCCATATCTTTAGGTAAGAAAATAGATTTTGTTTTGGTTTTAATATCTCCTATCATTCATTTTAATGGACAGTGATAACAAGCATCTGCCTAATGTTGACATTTAACTGCTTCCATTTAGAGCAGGCATGTCAAAACCGCGACGTCATGTGACGTCGTGTGATGTATCGCAACTTTTCCCCCATTGCCTGCAATGGGGTGGGCGTGGTTTCAGTGTGATGCATCCGGCCCGTGGGCCGGCAGTTTGACATGCCTAATTTAGAGGTTTGGGTAACATGCATGCCAATACGTCAATTATTAATTTGTGAAACACTTTGTGTGGCAGAAAAAAAAGTATAATCATTCACACATTGCCTAGTGCCACTTGTTTAGGAGCACGTAACCATGCTCACCATATCCAAAGGCCCTCTGAAAAAGCCAGGTTTTAACTGCTTTCCAAAAATAGAGCCTGACCTTATCTTTGGGGTTGTGCTGTTCCAGACAAGGAGGCCTTTTGAATTGTATTAAAAGTTTCATTTTATTTTTTTTAAAAAAGACTCAGATTAACTCTTTTGGTGTAGTAATGATTTAACATTGCTGAATATCATTGGCCTATGAAATAAAAAAAATTGCACTACAGAGAGAAGGGTTCTTTTCTCTTTACTTTGGATGACTATAAGATACAGGACTCATTTATCAAATGTCCTCTATAGTAACTTACATTATTGTTTTTTCATTCCTGAGAAATATGTGCCTTGGTTCCCAGCTATTCTAAAAATTCAGTCTGTAAATTTTGAAGTCCTGGTGCCATGATTGAATGGCAATTGTTACACATGTGATGCTTTGTCTTTTTAAAATTTTAGCATGTGATTCTCCTAAAGGAACAATTGTTACTAGATGATTGAAAAAGAATAAGTAAATTGTTAGTAGATGTTCTTTAGTATACAAATTGCTCTTTAGTATAATAGTACAGGAAAGAAACCATCCAACAATTAATCCCATTTTATTCCCTTCTTGAAGGTATCTTCCCCTCCAGGATATCATGTGCATGGAATGCCTCTCCCGGAAGTTAAAGGAAGCTGTCATCTTGTACCTAAGAGTAGTTAAAGTTGTGGATCTCTGCGCAGGTCGCTGGTGGGAGTACATGCCCACTGGTAAGTGGTGCTGTGAATCATGACAACTTTGATTGCATTTTCTGCTTAGCTATAGCATTTAAAATAACAGAGAATTTCCACAAATGTTATGTGTATATAGGAAAGCTTCCCAGAATAATAAAGAGATGGCAGGAGCTCTTAGTAATATGCACATATTTTAAGAGAAAGTAACTTTTGATTAGGCAGTCAGCTAGGCAGAAGTAATAGAATAGGGATCTTCTGAGTCAATTTAATCTTTATCCTAAATCACTGGGGATTTATTCTAGATTGCTATGGAAAGTGTCTGAAATTGCCTAATATTTTGCAGGTTCTAAATGGTCAGCAAAACTTGGGAGAAGTTACAGATTCAGAAAGGGCAAGTTTAGTACTTCCCTTTAAAACAGGGAATAAGGAAGTCTTGTAAAATAATGCCCAATGGCTTTTCTTCCTTTTGAAGGAAAATTTAAAATTGGGAGTACATGAATAATAACATAATGTATTCAAGTGCAAATTAAACCTCATCACACACAAACAAAATCCAAGATCTGTGATAAAAAAAACTAGTCAAACTAGTCATCATGATCAATTATAACATAGATCTATGACACCACTTAACAAATTATACTTTGGGGAATTAAATAGTTATTTGATTAAATATATAACCCCGTCCGTTTTTAACTATTATTTCAATTATGTTTTACCTTCTTGCATATAGTTCAGTTTTTCCTCAGTAGTAATACCATCTTTCTGCAGTGTTGTCTTTGAATTCTAAAATTACAAAAGAATATGCCAAAATAGAAATGGTGGTGTGTATATACAGTATATGATAAAATAAAGACAAGTTACTTGCCTTTGTGCATCTAGATAACCAATTTTTAATAAAAAGTACAATATGGATTGTTTGTACAGGATTCACAGATTCCAGCTTCCTAACCTTGCTGAAGAAAATGCCAGACATTGAGCAGCTGTATGGCCTTCATCCCAGGCACCTTGACAGACGTAGGGTTCGGGGTTATGAAGCCTTCAGCATTCCTGGGGTGCTAGAAGCTTTGCAGGCTTGCCCAAATCTCTTGGTATGTGTTCAAAACATAAATTTGTAATTTCACTTGACAGCTGTCATTCTGGATAAGAATTAAGGGGACAAAATTAGAAAATGTTGGAGACAGTTTGGAAGGACAGATGGCTTTGTATTTTATGGATCAAATTCAATTCCATGCCCTTGAATCTGGGTTTCATTATCACATCTGAAACAACTGTAATTAAAAAACTCACATGGAGTTTTCTGTTTTAATTAAATCTGGAAGTTTGCCCTGAAAGCCCAATCTGTTATTATAAGTGAATGGTCTATGAATGAAACATAGCATAGAAAGAACAGTGTATTACATAAAATCACATGATATATATATACACTAATTATGTTTTGCTTTGTATATAGTTTATTTGCAGAGTGAGGAAAAATAATTTAGGGATGGAGTTGCAAAAATTGGCAAGTTTAGTGTTGTAACTAGCTATGATGTATCAACATATGGTTTATCAAAATAGTCCTGAGGATACAGCTTTATATAACAGTCTGAAGAGTTGTTTTATGGATACTTAAATGTTGATAATTTTATTGGTTGCTATGCTATGGTTTCTTAGAAAGGCAAGGTATAAATCTTAGCAAGGAGATTTAGATCTGCTATTTTTAATGCATATATGATATGCAACTAAGGTACAATTAATAATTGTCAGTGAAGTTGGCTTAATATTAATGCAGAATTGTATGTAAGTTGGCAACAATGTTCAGGTAATATTAATATAAATAAGAAAAATATTGTTTTTGCTATGATGATGCTTGACTCTTTATTCTGGATTTTTTTCCCCCATACTACTTAGGGTGTTGAGACTTCCCATTTGGAACTAGTAGAAGCCATTTGGACATACATGCCCCAAGTTCACATCCTAGGGAAGTTTCGTAATCGTAATGGTGCCTTCCCAATTCCACCTGAAAATAAATTGAAAATACCAATAGGAGCTAAAATTCAAACTTTGCACTTAGTAGGTAAGAATTATGCATTTGTGATATTAAAGCAGCTAAGCATTTTGAAAAGCTATGAAATCACAACATATTGCGAATAGATTTGCTATTTTTTGCAATAGTAGGATAGTTGCTATTTATATCAGTAGATGAAAACAAATAGATTCTTTCAACACTGTAAAATACATGCTCACTATCAACACTGTATTACTGGATTAATACTACAGGTAGTCCACAACTTACAATAGTTCAGCGGTGGCGAACCCTGTGGCACGCATGCCAGAGGCGGCACTCAGAGCCCTCTCTGTGGGCATGCGCACCACGGCCACTAGCAGCTCACGCAGGTCCATTAGGCTTCCGCTGCCCGGAGCAGCAGGCCCACCCAGCACAAAGCAGGCAAAATGGCCGGCTAGCAAGCTTGAGTAGAGATGTTAGAGTATCGAGGTGGCCACGCCTACTTGGCCACACCCACCCAGTCTGCTGTGATCACTCTGGCCACGCCCACCCAGTGGGCCACACACCCCACCCTCCCTGAGGAAAGCACAAGGCTGATGCAGCCTGGCACTTTGCAATAAATAAGTGGTTTTAGGTTGCGGTTTGGGCACTTGGTCTCTAAAAGGTTCGCTATCACTGCAATAGTTCATTTAACAACAGTTCAAAATCTATGATGACCTTGGAAAAAATCACTTAATGACCCTGGTAAAAATGGTCATAAAACTGGATCTGGTGAAATGCTGACTCATTTAATGACTGAGGTTCCGTTCCCAGTTGTCCTAAGTTGAGAACTACCTGTAGTCTGACACATCAAACCATTTACATTTGCAGTATTTCTCTGTGAAATGCCTGGTTTTGACTACAACTTGCTGCTCTGTGTATTTTTTTTAGGAGTTAATGTCCCTGACATTCCTTGTATTCCAATGCTGAGGCATCTGTACCTGAAGTGGGTGAGACTCACCAAACCACAACCTTTTAAGGATTTCCTTTGCATCAGCTTACGCACTTTTGTCATGAGAAATTGTGCAGGTAAAGAGCAATCTTGCTGCTTCAAACATTATCTAGGTTAAAATGTGTTACAGTACAATTTCCTAAACATTTCAAGCATTTGGAAAGATGTGGGATTATTGTCCAGATAGTAGTAATGTAATGTCAATGTCAGTCTGTGCTCCAAATCTGATTAATACCGATTCAGTTGTTAAAATTGCTGTTCCTTGTTCACAGTTTGAAAATTGAACTATTTTTTTTTCTGATAAGTTATCTTAGCTGCCTTCTCCTGCAGGACACAAGATTTAATTATGTCATGTGGAGGTAAACAGGGAAATTGTATCCCGTATATCGGGAATAATCTGCCATGACTTTGCAGAATTACAAGAATGTAGAGATGTAGACAAAATATCTTTATATCTATGCATTTTCTTCATAGAAAGTAACAGTTTTGTCACATGAATGAAAATGCTTGAAATGTTATTAAAACAAAGTACATGCTAACATTTCTATGCTTTTATTCTATGCCTGCATGTGAATTTCGTTTTTTCTTTCTTCTGTAGGACCCACAAACTCATTGAAGTATGTTCCCCTGGTCACTGGCTTAGCTTCTGCTCGAAACTTAGAACATCTAGAATTGGTTCGAGTTCCTTTTCTTGGAGGTCTCATTCAGCATGTTGTAGAAGACAGCTGGAGATCTGGTATGGAAATTCTCTGGAATTAAGGACAATTCTTACTTTTCCATTATTTCTTCATCTTCTCCTTTATAGAAATGAATATTGCTAATATGTTCAGAGATAAGAGTTGCTTTTAATATAAAAAAAGATACTAGGTACATCTGAATATACAGAATTCTTATATTTGAAATTTAAGAAGTTAATACTTCCCCTTAAGGGGTAAAATATTCTCTTGGTGAACATATATGTGTGTGGAGTTCAAATTTTGCTTCCGTTCCTGAACTTGCTAATTGATGAAATAGAGAAAGTTCACTAACAATAAAGCAACATGTTTATGTTGTTGAATAGTGTAGCTGTGGGGACTGAGGAGGCTATGGGAGATCAGTAGAAATAAGTCCCCCCCCAATAAAAAGGTTTTCTAAGTGTGCGTGTTCTTTATTCTCCTTAGTCTAGGGCAGGGGTAGGCAACCTTGGCTCTTTTATGACTCGTGGACTTCAACTCCCAGAATTCCTGAGCCAGCCATGTTGAGGGGAAAGGGAGAGATTTCCAAGCTGAGCCATGCTGGCTCAGGAATTCTGGGAGTTGAAGTCCACGAGTCATAAAAGAGCCAAGGTTGCCTACCCCTGGTCTAGGGGTATGATACCACTTTGGACTAACCCCATGATCCTGGAGTATGAATCAAAATGTTAAATTTGGTTAATATATTAGAAAAAAAGTTTCAGACTGGTATGCAGAGATTGCAGTGAAGGATGTGTGCTGTGATTGTTTGACATACTGGGGGATTCTTATCTGTTAAGTAATAGTAGTCATACACTATGCTGAAATAGAAATAAAAAAAAGTTTGGGGTTTCAATTTTGCTGCCAACCTTCTACGATTATGGTTCCTAAAACACAATGGAAATTACTTTCTTGTTTATTTTTTTTTTGGATTTTCAGGGGGCTTCAGAAATTTGCACACTATAGTTCTAGGAGCTTGTAAGAATGCTTTGGAAGTTGATCTTGGCTACCTCATCATAACTGCTGCACGAAGGTAATTGTCTGTCAGCGGTCTTTTGAATCTATCTGTCAATAAATTACCATTATCCAATCTGGGTTGGTCACTGGGACCAGAGGTTTAATCTTCTGAGCTCTTGGAACTCTTGCCGGAGTCCATCCTCAGTGAACCTCTCTGCCAGAATGTGTGATTTGGGCTATTCTGTCCATAGTATTTATGAGGTGCCTAGTTCTGTGTGGCTTTTTAGTTGTTGATTGGGATGTTGATGGCCGGCTATTAAGTCATCGGCTGTTGTTTCCTTGTGCTGCCAGGTCCTGGCTCTTAAGTACCTGATAGGCTGTAGTAAATCAGCCCTCCTGTTGATTGACAAGAGGTTGTTTCCCAGGCTTCAATCATTACCATAATTACCATTCTGTTTACCATGACCATTTACTAATTACCATTCATGCAGTTTTGTTTATTCTTTCTTAAATGCTGTGTGTTGCTTTTTTTTTGCCATGGCTTGCTTTTTATTTACTTCATTCATGTAATAAATATCATAATAGATGTTATCAACAAATAACATTGAGGTAATAAAAGTGTTCTGCTGTTGCTTTGCTTTGAACAAGGGTTCTAATATCAATGGCCTCAGGTTAACATTTACTCCTACTTTGGTTTTCATTTTTTTTCAGATTGCATGAAGTACGAATTCAGCCTTCCTTAACCAAAGATGGAGTATTCTCTGCACTAAAAATGGCAGAATTGGAATTTCCCCAGTTTGAAACACTACATCTTGGATATGTTGATGAGTTTTTGTTACAGTGTATGAAACCCTTCAATCTTTCTGTTGGTTAACTATCAGCAGCTAGGGTAGATCTGGATTTTATTATTTGCCTAAAAGGAGTACAAATGTTAAGATACATTCTTGTGTAATCTAGAGGCAACCCTAAAGACTTGGTTGCTCATCAAATGTGCTTGGGACTTAGAGAAGGAACCTTGATTATAGTAGTATGCATGCGTGGCCTGGACCGCATTTCATTTCTTGAGATTAGCTGTGAAAACTCTACATCAGGGGTGTCAAACTCGCATGGTCACATGATGTGTCGCGACATAGCACGACTTTTTTTCCATTGCTGGCAATGGGGTGGATGTGGTCTCGCCATGACACGTGTGGCCCGCGGGCTGGCAGTTTGACACCTCTGCTCTACATCATTGGGAATTTCTCGGGGGGAATTAAACCTTGGTCTGATGAGACCATAGAATGAGATAATGTACATAGGTCTTGTTACAAAAAAATATTGGAATTTCTCATTTCCCGAAGAAGGATTAATCAAGCATGTGCAGAGGAAATAACCAAAGTGGGTCTTTTTAGCAATAACCTATGGTAAAGCAGGCCTGCACAATTTGCAAAGGACCAAGGACCAGATTGATACTTTAAAAATAATCATGGGTCACGAAGGAATAGCTGGCAGGCCAGTTAGCTCTTTGGCAGCTAACAGCACGTTGGCAGCAGCAAAGCTGACAGTGTCTATGAAACCTAGAGGCATTAATGTGTCTTTTGAGATGGACATGGATGTGAAAACTAGCTGGCACCTGAAGGTCCTTCCTACAGGCAGTAACATTTGGTGGCAGTCAGCTGGTTATTTTTCAAAAATGTGTGGCCTGTAGGCTATACATTGTGCAGGCCTCTGGTAGAGTTTTACACCTAGCTTTATTCCTGTGTGTATGCCAGGAGAGTAAGGAAATAACAAATTTGCTAAAGATTTTTTTTCCACATAAACTTCATATCTGTAGCTGCAATGGGATATTGGTGTTTCATCTTACTGATTTTATATATCTCAACTTTGCAGCCCATTGTTCTGTCATATCCTTTAACACTAACAGAATAATTATGCCAAACTTGATTGTTGTTGAGTTTCTTGTAAAAGAGAGAAAAAAGTGGGGGCTAGGTAGAATTTAACCTTAGCACAGTTTGCTAAGTTAGCTTTTACAGATCAGTCCGTAAATTGGTGACTATTAGAAAACATGTTTTTCCTTTGTTTTGCTACTCTTGTTTTCTAAGACCGAGAGGTGAATAGTTAATATAGCTGTGGCCAGTATTCAGACTGCATAGCTGCATAGCAAAGTCGTGGGGAAAAAAAGGTTCTATTTTTTCCTCCCTCTGTGTCCAGGTAAAATGATCAATGCAGATCTGGTGAAGTATGGATTAGCCGATGTGGTTGAAAATCCAGGCATTATCACAGACATAGGAATGAAAGCAGTAAACGAAGTCTTCTCTTCAATTAAATATCTTGTCATATACAATTGCCCTCATTTACATAATCCAAGTAGCTGGATCACAGGTATTGTACTCACATCTGGTAAAGTCCCTCAATAAATTGCATATCCTCTCCTTAAATAAATGGATTATCTTTGGGAATTGTTTTTGTTGTATATAGGATATGCAGCCTATATGACTGATCTAAGAATGCAATTTCATCATGCAGCCTATATGACTGATCTAAGAATGCAATTTCATTTCAATTATAGACTGCTGAAAAGAAGTATTACTGTCTGTTTTTTACTGAGTGATGAATACTATTCGAACATTAACATTGTTATTCTATATTTCTTGTTCTTTTTTTGTAAAAACCTTTTATAATACAAACAACAAAAATGGAACAATGCAATATGATAAGTTAAAAATTAAAACCATAAAATTACAACTATTAGTTTAAGAGCAAATTAATCATATTTTTCCAGTGGAACCTTGGTCCCTAATGGTTGTAATGAATACTCACATAATGATTATTTTTAGGAGGACTAGGGCATTGCCACTTTATATTGAATATATATATTGTAAAATACATAACCGAACAATTTAAAAATGTCAAAGTAGTTCCACACAAGTCCTCATAATGGTTTCCTCTTCTACACTAAATTATCTTCAGCTGACTGTAGCCCTATTGTAATCATAAGAAAGGGATTTTCCATAGAATATAAAGACCAAGTAAGCCTAGATGTAAGTATTGAAAGAGGCAGCTCTTCAAATAACTTGGTTTTGATTATTTAGGGGATTATAAACTAATAGTATATTGAATATAGCTTAACTGGTATTCAATGCATATGTAAACCATGGGGAGCGTTATTGAGTGCTTTATTCCTAAATACTAGTTGTAGTTTTCAAAGCACTCGAGAGTAGCCTCATATAAAATGTGTTTTAATAAAATATGTCAAATCATTTTATAAAAGTCTATATAAAGCTACCTGCACCATGAACCCCTGATTACAAAGTTAGGAAGGTGTTAAATGCATTCCTTGAACATTAAATGGATACCCACTCATGATTCAATGAGTAATATCTACTCAATTCTTGAACAGAGAAAACTTCTATTCATGAAATGAAAGCTGTGCTAATGGAAGGAATTATTTCATTAAAACCTATAGGTTTTAATCTCGTCAGTCAAAAAAAAGAATCTTAATTTTTCAATGCTCCAACTTTAGGCTTCTGAAATAATTATTAATTTCCAAGGTACTTCTTTGTTATTTTTCTGTGTTTCACCTGTACTGTAACAAAGGCAATGTATTTTAAGTTTGAGAGGGGGGGGGTTTAGTCTTAATAGTATTTATTATTCTGCTTAACTAGCCACCTGTGAAAATGGAAGCTTTCAGCAAAATAGATTCATTAGAATAACTGTGAATCCACTTTTGGAATGGTAGAAGTGAAGAAGGAAACCCAAATTGATTTGGTTAAAGAAGAGTAATTATTCAAACTTGGAAAGTGCATTTAGGAAAATACATTGTGATAAACCTATTTGTTTTTTCTGTAGATCATTCAAGATGGACTCGGCTTTTTGATCTCACCCTGGTGAGATGCCATGCAATAAAACTAGACTCTTTTAGCCAGTTTATTGAATTACTACCAAGCCTGGAGTTTATCTCTCTGGACCAGATGTTTCGGGAACCACCCAAGGTGAGCATAAAAAAAAACGATGAGTCTGAAGTGTGCACCAAATCCCACTATATTAAGCTGCTACTGAGTGCTTTTAAATAAATAAAATTTCATTTGGTTAGCGTATGGAATTAAAATCCTATGCAGGCAATCACCTGCTCACACAAAGGGTAAGTCTGAGTTGAAAGCATGAGCATTCCATAAGCTTCATTGTTCATTTTCCTGTGTTTTCCCATGTCCTGTTTTTTGGTAGTTTTTCATGCAATAGAAGTGTGGCAATTTGAAAGAAAATGTTCAAAGCAGCAAGGATGGTCGGAATCTGGGAAAAGGACTTGTGTGCACTCCACATCTCAAGTCAGATTAATTCTGCATAATGATAAGACATAAGTGTTGAAAACTAGCTCAGTATTGCAAGTTACAATAGAAGGATCAAGCAAGAAAGAGGCTGATTATAAAAATACAGGTAATCCTTGAGGTACGACAGATCATTTAATGACTGCTCAAAGTGACATCAAACCCTCCAAAATAGTGGTTCTCAACCTTTTTAATGCCGCGACCCAACCGGTCGTAAGTCGAGGACTAAACCGGTCGTAAGTCGAGGACTAAACCGATCGTAAGTCGAGGACTACCCAACCGGTCGTAAGTTGAAGACTTTCCCTGCCCGGGAGCGCCGCGCACGCGTGGTTCCGCCCCCTGCGCCACCCGAGGCATAGCTGGCAAGCGGCAGAGACAGAGCAGGCCGACCACCAGCTGGCCCAGCCCAAGGGAGGTAAGGCACCCGCCGGAAAAGGGGGAAAAATGGTAGACAGAAAAAATGGCAGACAGCCTTGCTTGGCGACCCCCATGAAATGGTCGATCGACCCCAAATGGGGTCCCGACCCACAGGTTGAGAACCACTGCTCCAAAAGCTATATATGACCCTGTTTCAAAGTTAAGAATTCTACAGAATGAAGAATGACCAGGTGGGTTCTGTAGAATTCTTAACTTTGCAGAGATGCCGCAGCACCCCCATTTATCTATTTTCCCTCCGACACACAAACATCCTGCCCTGCCAGGTCCCCCCAGGCATTTGGCCCATCAGATTCCAAGCGGTCCTCTTCAAGGGTCCTCAGAATCCCTTCCTTACCTTCTGCAAAAGATCTGCAAAACTCAGGAGGCTGGGAAGGAGCAGGCCACGTGTTGTGGAACCTGAGCCAATACTGGACAAAGTAGCTTCACTGTCAGCAGAGCCAGGTCAGGTTACAATACTCAGGCTTTTCTGTCCAACATGAGGAGATGTTGGCGCTTTATGGAGTAACTCGGCAAAGAAGCTTCAAAGAAGCTGCTTTGACACTTTTCCTAATACTAAAAAGTATTACTTACTCTCATATTAAGCCAATAATACAAAGATAAAAGAGCAGCGTTTAAATAAAGCTAAAAGCACTAGTGTTTATACAGCCTATCATCAAGATGGGGTTTACTGCCATTTCAGAAGTATTTGGTCTTCTTTGGAAAAGAGCATTGAAGTGTCTATGAAGGGTCGGAAGCGATGCCTTGGTGTTCAAATGTCACAGTTTCCTGTAATCTTACGATCTTTGGTTAATACTGTCCTGGAAACTCTTTTGTCAGTTGCCAGACAGTAATTCCTTTAATGTATTTTAGGGTTGTGCTCGTGTAGGTCTGAGTGCAGGTACAGGAATCGGAGTTTCCTCTGCTTTGGTGAGCAACCAGAATTCCAACAATGAAAATGACAACAATAATAACCACCAGAACAATAATGCCAATATTTACCATAATAACCACCAACAACCGAATGATCAAAATGAAGAGAATGAATTGCGACAGGAGGAGCAGATGGAGGAACAGCAGAATGCAGCAGATGGTAAGTTTTATTAATAAGTTTTAATAATATGATTGTCTATATATAGTATATAGGCCACCAACAAGGAGAAAAGTATCGTCCTCCCCTTCCAGGGATGTTTCACATCTTATTTTTTTCTTCACTTTTAACTTAATTCCTATCTTTATGCTCTAATTCTTTATGCTCTGCTTTTTTTTTCTCCATTCAGTCATACCCAGTTTTCGGAGATTGCCTGAACAAGTCCCTACAGTTTTCTTGGCAAGGTTTTGCCTCCTTCCTAGGTCAAGAGAAAGTGACCAGCCCAAGATTACCCAGCTGGTTTTATTCTTAAGCAGGACTAGAACTCACATCTCCCAGTTTCTAGCCTGATGCCTTAACCACTGCATCAAGCTGGCTTTCATGCGTTACTTAACCTGTACAATGTATCTATGTTCATCCTTATGTGTGTTGTGTATGTAAAATCCTTAGTTATGTGTGTTGTGTACTGTATGTAAATCCCAAAGTGTCCTAAAAACAATTTATTTTCCCTTTGTTATACAAGTGTGCTTATTGAGCACCATTTGAGCCACCATTTACACAATATGCATTTAGTTGGCATCTGTTGCTATCTGTTACTACCAGTTGCCATTCTGAACTGCAGCTGAAATGTTTGCTTTGCAATATTTTTCAATATTTGTGTTTGCTGTGTATGTGCTCCTTCAAGGCAGTGTTAACCTCCCTTGTTTTCTTGGCAAGACTTTCAGAAGTGAATTGCCATTCCCTTTTTCTTATGAGAAAGTAACTGGCCCGAGATCACCCGTGATCACAGTTTCCTGATTTATAGTGCTTTAACCATTGTACTAAACTGATGGTCCTTTTCCTATTCTAACATTTATAAAGTGATTTAAGATAGGAACAAAGAGAAAAATAAGGGGAGGGGAAAAACCATTTTCCAGACTTGAAGGAGTTCCTCTTTTGAACTAGTATGCTAAAAGATGCCAATGAACAGATAGAAACCAATTCAAAGAAACTAGAGCAAAGATGGAAAGAGTATATTGCAATTCTGTACATTAGAGTTATTAGTATCCAGGATACCTTAGAATATTTTCCTTACTTACAGGAATCTTTAGTATTAGAAGATGGTTAGAGCAGCACTCTAGTTATTACCAGGTTGATAATAGGTATGGATTTAGTTACAACAACAACAAGTTCAATGTTGAAACATTTGAAAGGCCAGACTAGGGACACATTATCCTGGAAGAGGTCTGTTTGGGTGATTACTGAAACTTGATACTGACTTGATGTCACATAATCAGTCACACAGAATAATAGCTATTAACATTCCCTATTGCATCCCTTAAAGAGTGAAGAACATATCAACTTGATCTATCACCCATAATGTTCTAAAATTATTCCTTTCGTGTTGCATCAGTGTTTGTTCTTATTTTTGACAAGTATGATTTTTACCATTGAAATAACTCTTAATACAGACTTTATTTTTGCTTAGAAGGGGTAATATAACTTAATATTGCCTTTAGATTACTGTAGAATTTGTAGAATTATAGGATTTTTTTAAATCGTAAGCATTCTTATCTTTTAGTTTGAAAGCTATACTTTCTCTCTCAGTACAACATGGAAAGCCTCCATCAAATTTTAAAATTTAAAAGTGGACCGTTAGTTATTTTTCCAGACTAAGAGTGTTGCTGTTCCCTCTGGAAGATTTCCTACAATCATAGTTCAGCTATNCTTGGCGACCCCCATGAAATGGTCGATCGACCCCAAATGGGGTCCCGACCCACAGGTTGAGAACCACTGCTCCAAAAGCTATATATGACCCTGTTTCAAAGTTAAGAATTCTACAGAATGAAGAATGACCAGGTGGGTTCTGTAGAATTCTTAACTTTGCAGAGATGCCGCAGCACCCCCATTTATCTATTTTCCCTCCCACACACAAACATCCTGCCCTGCCAGGTCCCCCAAGGCATTTGGCCCATCAGATTCCAAGCGGTCCTCTTCAAGGGTCCTCAGAATCCCTTCCTTACCTTCTGCAAAAGATCTGCAAAACTCAGGAGGCTGGGAAGGAGCAGGCCACGTGTTGTGGAACCTGAGCCGATACTGGACAAAGTAGCTTCACTGTCAGCAGAGCCAGGTCAGGTTACAATACTCAGGCTTTTCTGTCCAACATGAGGAGATGTTGGCGCTTTGCGAGGTAACTCGGCAAAGAAGCTTCAAAGAAGCTGCTTTGGCACTTTTCCTAATACTAAAAAGTATTACTTACTCTCATATTAAGCCAATAATACAAAGATAAAAGAGCAGTGTTTAAATAAAGCTAAAAGCACCAGTGTTTATACAGCCTATCATCAAGATGGGGTTTACTGCCATTTCAGAAGTATTTGGTCTTCTCTGGAAAAGAGCATTGAAGTGTCTATGAAGGGTCGGAAGCGATGCCTTGGTGTTCAAATGTCACAGTTTCCTGTAATCTTACGATCTTTGGTTAATACTGTCCTGGAAACTCTTGTCAGTTGCCAGACAGTAATTCCTTTAATGTATTTTAGGGTTGTGCTCGTGTAGGTCTGAGTGCAGGTACAGGAATCGGAGTTTCCTCTGCTTTGGTGAGCAACCAGAATTCCAACAATGAAAATGACAACAATAATAACCACCAGAACAATAATGCCAATATTCACCATAATAACCACCAACAACCGAATGATCAAAATGAAGAGAATGAATTGCGACAGGAGGAGCAGATGGAGGAACAGCAGAATGCAGCAGATGGTAAGTTTTATTAATAATTTTTAATAATATGATTGTCTATATATAGTATATAGGCCACCAACAAGGAGAAAAGTATCGTCCTCCCCTTGCAGGGATGTTTCACATCTTATTTTTTTCTTCACTTTTAACTTAATTCCTATCTTTATGCTCTAATTTTTTATGCTCTGCTTTTTTTTCTCCATTCAGTCATACCCAGTTTTCGGAGACTGCCTGAACAAGTCCCTACAGTTTTCTTGGCAAGGTTTTGCCTCCTTCCTAGGTCAAGAGAAAGTGACCAGCCCAAGATTATCCAGCTGGTTTTATTCTTAAGCAGGACTAGAACTCACATCTCCCAGTTTCTAGCCTGATGCCTTAACCACTGCATCAAGCTGGCTTTCATGCGTTACTTAACCTGTACAATGTATCTATGTTCATCCTTATGTGTGTTGTGTATGTAAAATCCTTAGTTATGTGTGTTGTGTACTGTATGTAAATCCCAAAGTGTCCTAAAAACAATTTATTTTCCCTTTGTTATACAAGTGTGCTTATTGAGCACCATTTGAGCCACCATTTACACAATATGCATTTAGTTGGCATCTGTTGCTATCTGTTACTACCAGTTGCCATTCTGAACTGCAGCTGAAATGTTTGCTTTGCAATATTTTTCAATATTTGTGTTTGCTGTGTATGTGCTCCTTCAAGGCAGTGTTAACCTGCCATGTTTTCTTGGCAAGACTTTCAGAAGTGAATTGCCATTCCCTTTTTCTTATGAGAAAGTAACTGGCCCAAGATCACCCGTGATCACAGTTTCCTGATTTATAGTGCTTTAACCATTGTACTAAACTGATGGTCCTTTTCCTATTCTAACATTTATAAAGTGATTGAAGATAGGAACAAAGAGAAAAATAAGGGGGGGGGGGAAGCATTTTCCAAACTTGAAGGAGTTCCTCTTTTGAGCTAGTATGCTAAAAGATGCCAATGAACAGATAGAAACCAATTCAAAGAAACTAGAGCAAAGATGGAAAGAGTATATTGCAATTCTGTACATTAGAGTTATTAGTATCCAGGATACCTTAGAATATTTTCCTTACTTACAGGAATCTTTAGTATTAGAAGATGGTTAGAGCAGCACTCTAGTTATTACCAGGTTGATAATAGGTATGGATTTAGTTACAACAACAACAAGTTCAATGTTGAAACATTTGAAAGGCCAGACTGGGGACACATTATCCTGGAAGAGGTCTATTTGGGTGATTACTGAAACTTGATACTGACTTGATGTCACATAATCAGTCACACAGAATAATAGCTATTAACATTCCCTATTGCATCCCTTAAAGAGTGAAGAACGTATCAACTTGATCTATCACCCATAATGTTCTAAAATTATTCCTTTCGTGTTGCATCAGTGTTTGTTCTTATTTTTGACAAGTATGATTTTTACCATTGAAATAACTCTTAATACAGACTTTATTTTTGCTTAGAAGGGGTAATATAACTTAATATTGCCTTTAGATTACTGCAGAATTTGTAGAATTATAGGATTTTTTTAAATCGTAAGCATTCTTATCTTTTAGTTTGAAAGCTATACTTTCTCTCTCAGTACAACATGGAAAGCCTCCATCAAATTTTAAAATTTAAAAGTGGACCGTTAGTTATTTTTCCAGACTAAGAGTGTTGCTGTTCCCTCTGGAAGATTTCCTACAATCATAGTTCAGCTATNAATCAATTTTCTGTACAGAAATTTGATTGTTGTACAAAAATTTTCTGTAAAGTAATTTTTAGATTACTTTGGAAATAGATCATTGATTGAATTGATTGAGTAAGTGCCATCAAGTTATTTTCTACTCCTAATGATTACATAGATTTTCCTATATTGCTGATGTGAAGGTTGAGATACATTGCTAAAACATAAGTTTATTTATATTAAATTGCATTATACATAATATACTAAGTTAATAGTTCTAGCAAGATACGAACTTTGGATTTCAAGTTTGCACTGCTGCCTGGTATATCACATTAATCTTGTTCTGACTGCCAAAACCCTTACTAGTTTACTATTCAATTGAGATACAATTATGCATCTCTTTTTCTTTTTTTTCTTCTTTTTTTTAGGATTAGTGTTGTGCAGAGATACCTTACAAATGTAGTTTACTGGCCAAGAAAACATTGCTTATAACCAACAAGAAGGCTTTTAGTAACCTCTAGTTGTCATTGTGATATAGCTTTCGTTTTATCCTCTTTTTTGGTATATTTATGTGACAGAATACATTTTCATCATTTTACAAATATATAGCTGGATTAATCTATTTGCATTGTATGGTACTAATTGATTGTGGCAGGAAGGAACTAACAGAAGATTTGGAGAACATCAAAAAACAAAACCTAATTTGCCTAATCGTGTGAAGGACTCAGACTAGATAGAGATTAGAGTCATATATGCAATGCGATCTCTCTCTAGCCTCCACTTGGGTGGTCTGAAGGATTACTACCCTTGTATGTGCAGCTCTGAATATCAACAGGGCCTGAAGAAAGTAAGGAAGCCAATCACACCAATAGTTTTGTTTGCATTCATGTGAACATGCACATAGTTCTCTTCAGATCTCCCACCTACTGTAAATGTTTGGAAGCAGTGGTGAATCTGCTTTTTTTAAAGACCTCAATATGTCCAGATGAATGTCTAAAGGAGAGTTGTGAAGCATTCCAACTTGATACAAAACAGAGTACACACTGTGTTTTGTTTTGTTTTTATTCCTCTCTATGATGTTTGAGGGGAACTTGAAGAAGAGAAAAACAGACATATGAACTGCAGAAACTCCTTTGGGTAGGTATTCTAAACCATAGTACAAATCCCAGCTAGTTTAGACACATACTAGAATTACAAGTTCAATCAAGGTGAGTCATGACTTAAGGAACAAGAATAATCGATTATTGATGTTTTCGTCTTTTTCAGGACCTAGTGGTCTTCAGCCTAGTGTAAAGCTAGCACCTATTACAGTACATGATTCAGACAGTGAAGATGAAGATGAAAACATGGCAAGCTCAAGATCCTGTATCACAAACAGCATTGCACAAAGTTACTCAGATGGAGAGGAAAGAGTTAGAGATCCAGTGGAAATCCAGGAACCCTTAGGTGCGAGTTTTAATTTCCTTGTGTATGCAGAATATGTTGTATTCTGTGTTACAAAATGGATCGGTGTAGTGCTTCATATTCTGTTGAGAAGAGAAATTTTGCAATACCAAAACATTTGGAAAACTAAATGCACCAGTGTAGAATAGGTAGCACTCGGCTCAACAATAACTGGGAGAGGGATCTAGGAATCCTAGTGGACAATCATGTAACTATGAGATAGCAGTATGCTGCAGCTCCCAAAGAAAGCCAGTGCAGCCCTAGGCTACATCAACAGAAGGATAGTATAAAGATCATGTGAAGTGTTAGTACTGCTTTATACTGCAATGATAAGACCAGGCTTGGAATCTTGCATCCGGTTTTGGTCACCACGATACAGAAAAGATGTTGAGATTCTAGAAAGTGCAAAGAAGAACAACAAGGATGATTAGAGGACTGGAGACTAAAACATACAGTTTTGAGAACTGGGTATGTCTGATGTCAACGCTGCTAACATCGGATGTTTTTGCTTTGACGGTATATGAAGATGCAGCCAATTTCCCCTTGTGTGTTACTTTTAGAGTTAGAATTAGATGATACTGGGGGGGAGGAGGAAGAATGTGTATGGGAATTAGTTAGACATAACATCATAGTAGAGTGTTTTTAAGGTTGTTTGAAATAAGAAATGATAAATGGGTAGAAGAACTGGAGGGAAGGTCTGCATTTCAAACTAATTGGAGAATGTGATTTATGACTTAATTAGAGGAGGGAATTGTGCTTTGATACTATGTGTTTAGGGGAGGAGAATTCAGATGCCATGCAACTTGAATAAAGATTCTTTAAGGTAAACAATGCCTCGAAGTTCTTTGAAGAGTTTCATCTGTCGGAACCATGACATCTAGTCTGATGAAGAGCAGGACTAGAAGTGACATGATAGCAGTCTTCCAATATCTGAGGTTTTGTGGTTTTTATCTATTTGTGCATTGTCCAAATCACTTGGTGAGAAGGGCAGTTACATATATTTGATTAATAATAAATATGATTGCTTTTCAAGTTCTATTTTAATAGATGTTCATACTTTTTGAAGAAGCAGGGTTTGAATACAGCTTTGATCTCCTTAACAGTAGCATTCTTCAATAAAGATTCCTTTCAGAATTAATATCGGAGTACAGTCTGTGCACTACTGAAACTCTTCTGTTTGATAGTTGTAACCATTAATTGGGCAAATCGTGCATTATAGGGCACCAATTTTTGAATCAACATTCCTCAAATGGGCTGATTTAAAAAATCCAGGGCCCATGTTTCAGTATTGCTGTGCAGCCATACTACCATGGTCACATAATTATCTTTTCAACACTCCCTGCCAGTTTGTACAAGGAAAACCAAGGAAGTTGGGAATTGTTCTGGTTCCCACTGCTCTTTTGCCTGCCTGAGGTCATTCTGTTTCTCTGTTTAGGTGAGGAAATGTCTCTGAAACGATGACCCAGCAGATGATAGGCTGTCTGCTTTGTTTTAAAAGGAGTTTAGAATTCAATCCAGTCAATGAATTGTATTTTGAGTTTAACTAGAGCTTGCAATTTTAAATAAATAAGGTAGGATATTAAACCGAAGTCTGAGAGATCAAATCCTACTATAGTTCTCTTAAGTTCGTACATAGGAAGACACCGTCTTTTAAAGTGGCTGTTTTCTCCCTCCTCTTGGGTTTTAACGAGGTGAAAGTGCGTGTTTCGGAATTTATACAGATTCATTTGCAATAATCTGAACTAAGGGTTTACTGCAATTTGTAAAATGCTTGATATGTTTACATTTGTTTCAGAATGATAATCCGACAGATATATGATTCCTTGCAGAATTCTAATTATATTAATACCAAGTATATTTGTTTTCTTCACTTTTGTTGACATGACATATACGGGTATACTTAACATTTTTGTTATATAAACTATAATAGTTCTAGAAAAGGATGGTGAAATAGGTAATCTCAGGTGTTTCTAGGCATTTCAAACCCTCACAATTAATATTTAGTAAATTTACAAATGCCTTAACATTTAAACTTTAGGTGTGTTTATGGGGAGGGAGAGACTATTAGTGCTTTACTAATTTCAGGAAGTTTTTAAAATGAGTGGATGGATTTCCAGGGGCCCATGAGTTTGGATGGGGAAAATATTACAATGAGGGGTCCTTGGTGCTCTCAGAGCTTGGTTGTTTTCTTGCAGACTTTTCATTACCCAAACTAGGGTAATGAAAACATCACTAGTGCTGATGATGTTATGTAGTTTGGATAATGAAATATCTGCAAAAAAAACAACCAGGCTCTGAGAGCATCAAAGCCTCCTCATTTCAACCCTGAGCCAGAAAAATTACAACTTTACTTTTCTTGCCTCTAACTGAAATGTATTGTTTCCAACAGAATAATTTATGGCCTTTAAATTCCAAAAGCCATTTGTTAATTTCAATAAACCTCACTGTCTATTAAAAAAATATTTGATTTTTTAATCATTTTAAAAATATTTTGATAACTACGGCAGTCCCAGTTGCAATAGTTACACAAGGCCCTTCTCCTGCCCTGACAAATTGCCTGTGCTTCAGCTCTCCCCACCTGCCCATCTATCCCCATCTCTGCCCTTTTGACCACCCTCACTCTACCACCTACCTCTGCTGTCCTCTGCCATCTACTTCCTGTCCTTACGGTGCTTTTTATCCTGAGTTTTCTACTCTAGTGAGCCTAAGACTTACGTTTATGTGTCCCGTGTCCTGTAATTGTGTGTGTTGCAGGCTTTGCATTACTTTATATTGCTCTTCTGCTTTTCCAATATTGCAGCAGTGAGTGGTAAAGGCAAAGCTCCACTGCGGAAAAGATGCAGTGCCAGTCGGGTGAAGCTTTTTCTTTCTGAGGAGAGCAGCTGTGAAAAGGGCTGTCAAGTCACCAGTGAGCAGATTAAAGCAGATATGAAAGCAGCCAGTGATGTGACCACAGAAAAAAATAAAAACAAAGATTGTAACCCAAGCTGTGGTGGGGACACTGGACCTCCAGGAAGCTCGTCCGCTGCTGCTTCTCAAAGCCCGGAAGATGTCAGGAAAGCAGATAGCTCTAATGAGTCCCTTTCTGTAGCTGCAGAGGATTCTGGGAAGTGTCTCTGTAGGAATGAAGATTCCAGTGAGCGGGATGATGAAGATAATTCTTTATGCTCCAGGTGTTCCTGCTATGTGCCGCAGAGCCAGCAAAAGAGAACTAATGGAGCTTCTGATGATGAATCTCCATCTACCAGTGGAGCCTGTGGTACAAATGGGCCATCGGTGGGAGGAGCAGAACTTTCTCTGAGAACATTAGCAAACAATGATTCCTCAGGGGAAGCCAGCAATGAGAGGACTAATGAGGGTGTCGGTGAGATTGCTAATGAGGAGGGCAGTACTTTACAGCAAGCAAGGTTTGAAATGGAACATAATGAAGATTATCCTCGTAGGCCTTTAACAAGAGCCAGAAGTAGGCTTTCCCATGTGCCTTTGGTGTCTCAGCCCGGTAAGATTACATTATGTAGATGTCTTGTATGAATTGTCTTGCTTTGTCACCCTAGCTCCAAAGGCGTGTAGAATACAAAAGCGATATATTAGCAGAAATGCCTTCTTAAAATTATTATCCCAATTCTTGTATTAACAGACCTGCATATGAATAGGAATGGAAGAATGATAGCTGCTTTGGAATGACATTTTTGAGTTGATTTCATATAGGAATCCTATTATGGTATTGCATTATAGTTCTGTACTTGTTTTCATCGGTATATTTCTTTCAATGATATTCTCTAACCACTTTAATATGACTCCCACAGAACCTATACTGTATGTTCCCTAAGAATTTTAACAATGTTGAATACCTTCCCAGTAAGGTGAACCAAGAAATAGTATCGGCACACAAAAGTGATATTCTTAACCATGTTCTACAGTCAGTTTTTCAGGGAAATAAATATCCAGAGTAATTCTTGCATGTTTCATTGTTCTTACATACTTATGCATTTTTCAGATTAAGGGTACTGTATTTTAATTTTAATGACAGTAGGCATTCTGAATGCCTCAGTCATCGTTTATGTAGAACTCAAATGATTTCTACCACAGTGATTGTCATCCTCACACCGTCGCTTCATTGCAATCATACAGACAGTAAAACAACATTTATGCCACGTTTCCTTGTATGCTTCACTTATGCAGGTTCAAAATATGAATTGAACTAATCAAAAGGAAATGTAAATCCTAATTCTGAACATCCTCTTAGATGTGTGTTTCTTTCACTGTCAAGCTGTTCGTAAAACATATTCATATGCAAATATAATAGCTTTTCATCAACATTTCCAGGGCATTCCATGTACAGTACAGTTAAATTTGTGAAATTCATAACATATACATATATATATAACTTTTCCTGATTTCCTCAACAGACCAAATGACATAAAACTTCAGCCTATTACTTGTGTCATTTTAACATCTTTTATGGTTTTCAAACACTTTCAGGAATAGAGAGACTTTAAAGTAATTACGTCCAATGTTTAGGGATGCTGGAATTGTAGTTCAGTAATATTTAGAGAGTCATGTGTTCCTTATCTTTGTTGTACTTAGATTATGCAACCTAGAAATGTAATAGTTTCTCTTAAGGCAGAATCACAGTTGATGATGTCACCTATCAGACCTTGGCTGATCTTGAAAAAATTAAGCAGAGTCGTATCTGCTTAGTTTCTCCTCCAAGTATTATTATCTGGGATTTGGAGCTAGAATGAAATATTGAAAAAACATTCCAAAAGAACTGCCATTTTTCCTCTAAAATAAGACCCGGTCTTATTTTTATTTTTATTTTATTTATTTTTTGCCTCCAAAAGAGGCACAGGTCTTATTTTCGGGAAATGTCTTTTTCCACTCATCTCCGGCACTGACAGCCCCATCCAGCTGGCCCACTTCTTCTGTGGCCGAAGGAGCAGCTTCATTCAGCAGCTGAGAATGGAGCTGCTCCTTCGGCCACAGAAGAAGTGGGCTAGCGAGGCAAGTGTTGATCCATGGGAGGCCTGGCTGCAATGGTAAGTTCTACCCCCTCACCCCAGCTTGATTTTTAGGTGTGCGCCTCATCCCCAAACTAGGGTTTATTTTTGGGGTAGGGCTTATATTAAGCCCACCCCCAAAAATCAAGCTAGGGTTTATTTTCGGGGAAGGTCTTGTTTTCGGGGAAACACGGTAGTTCTTAATATTTTTGTCACATTGACTGGCCACTGCCCACCATTCTGAAATTGATTTTGGAATCTTAATTCTGTCTAGCAATTTTTAAGAAAAAACTTCAAGATACATCATTATTGTGAGTATTTTAAAACTGTCACAATTATATTTATTTTATTTCATTTTATTATTTTTTATTATTTTATTATTTTATTTTATTTTATTTTTTGCCTTATCAGAAGCAGCTAAACCAAAATCTCGACATTCAGTGAAGAGAAAACGGACAGCTGACAAGTCCACAAGCACCAGTGATCCTGTGATTGAGGATGACCACATCCAGGTGAGTACTTTGGATCAGAATTATGGACAATCAATCATATTCAAGATGACTGAAACTTGTCTTTTGTAAAGATATTTTCTTGCTAAGTTATTTGCATACAATTTACATTTCAATATCAGCCAGAATAGCCAGTGTTTTCCAGTTAAGAACATTGCAGATGCCAAGAGAGAACAAAAAGATTTTCTAAGAAAAGAGAATTTCAGTGCTGCCCGCATTTTCTCACCCAACATTAGGTGTCCTGACAATTAATAATTTGACTAGTTAATTGGTTTGGCATGATCCATGTAGTAATTTTTAACTCTATAAATAAATTCTCTAGGTTTTGATACTAAAATCAAAAAACCTTGTTGGAATCACATTGACTAACTGTGGCATAACAGACCTGGTGCTGAAAGACTGCCCTAAAATGATGTTCATTCATGGTATGTACATTTTGTTTGTTGAAGCTTGAGAAATGTTCATGAAAATTTGGTGGAACTAATGGAATATTCTTCTTAACAAGCTGAACCATAAATGTCTTTTAAATAAATAAACAAAATAAATATGGTTTCTCACTTCTATAAACATGATCTATTGGAGGAAATCAGATCAGTAATAAAATATAGAATCATAAAGTTAAAAGTGATGGTTTAGGTCAGGGGTAGGCAATCTTGGCTCTTTTATGACTCGTGGACTTCAACTCCCAGAATTCCTGAGCCAGCTTGGCTGACTCAGGAATTCTGGGAGTTAAAGTCCATGAGTCATAAAAGAGCCGAGGTTGCCTATCTCTGGTTTTTAGGTCATCAAATTCAATCTCCTCAGTACAGGAACCCAGGTTAATCCAGCTGCTTGAGTACATCCCATGAAAGGGTTTTTGCTGCTTCTCTGGTTGTTTGGTTGCACCATTATGGACTAAATGCAGTTAAAATACCTCTATTCCTAATTAAATAAATAAAGAGGCTTATGGCATGTAAAGATGTAAAACATTCACACATTTGTCTTGTCCTCAATGACTTCTAGGCCGATGACTCCAAATTTTGCCTTTTCCAAACAACATCAGGCAAATTAAGCAAACAGTCCATGCTAAACTTTCATAAATCTGGCAACTTGAGATTATTTCATTATGCCTCCCACAGCTGTAATATTAAATAACTATTTTTTTTACGTATAATTGTTTATTTGGTTGTTTTTCCCTTTTAGCCACCAGGTGTCGTGTTCTTAAGCACTTAAAAGTAGAGAATGCACCCATTGTCAATCGATTTGATTATGCTCAATGCAAGAAATTAAATATGGATCAGGTCCTTGATCAGATACTTCGAATGCCTCCAGAGAGAAACCGGATTATTTACCTTCGTCCAATGCAACAGGTATGTAGCTAGCTTTCACTTAAGCAAAAGAGTTTGTGTATTTTTCTATACTCTTATTATCTTTTTTTTAGCATGAAGATTACTAGCACAAACTGGCTTTAATGGCATATTTTAATTGGATTTTTATTCACCTTGAAGTTTGTTGCACTGTTATATCAGTACTTCCCAAACCTGGGTAAATTACCCAATGGGTACAAGTGGGTTTTTGGGGGGTAATGACACACAAATCTATTGCTCATCACAACAGAGATATTTAAATTATGCCATGTTTACTAAAATAGATTAAAAAATATCTTCAAAAGCATTCTTATAATGGTGAAAATTAATGAAATTATCTGTTGTAATTTATTGAAATAACATGGGGATGATTCAATGATATTTTTATAATACATGCAATCCCCGTGTTGCAGTCATTAATTCAGTGACTGTTCAAACTTACAACTGCTGAAGGAAGGATCTTATGGCCGGTTCCTTGAAGTTCAATAAGACTTTTTGATAAATGGTCTTGGATAATGAAGGAAAAAGGTTGGGAAGCATTATGCTGCATTCTTCATATTCTTGGAATAAAACTGAGCATAAACATCTATAAGCTCAGGAAAGTTTTCAGTAGTCTTATGTTCAAATAATAAATGAAGTGCAAAATAACAGTGTTGTTTGCACATAGAAATTATTTTTCATCCTAATGCATATACATACAATATAAAATACACATAAGCTTCCTCCAGATTTTCCTAGGAGGGCATTACAATGAGATTAATGTCTTTATGATTTTTTTGTCTCAGGAAATTACTTCCTGTCAGTGTTGATGGAATAGTAAACCAGTTAGTAAAGTACTAAATATGTTGAATGTTCTAAATTTTCTATGTGCTCCAGCTAATGGGTTTTCTGGCTTTCAGTCAATGTGATATTGACATGGCAACTCACAAAGTAGAAACCTACCCTATAAAAGTTTACTACAAATTCTAAAAATGTTATTAGTTATGTTACTGATACAAAATATGAATCAGTAGTGAAAGACATGCAAAAATCAACTAACTAAAATATAGAGTATTGGAATACAGTGAATGTATTTAATTTACCAAATAACTATGAAAGAATGAAAGAAAAAAATTAAAAAACTAACTCTTTTTCTTTTAAAGCAATGACAAGTGATGTTAGAGATTTGTTTAAAAATGGCAAAGTTTCATAGTCTTAAATTCTCTAGGCCTAATAAGACTGTCTGTAGAAATCTATTTTGCTATTTTCTGTTATTTCAAGCATGTTGTCCCCATTTTTACAGGTTGACACACTAACTCTTGAGCAAAAAATATTTAGTGGTCCTTACCCATATCATATCTGTGTCATTCACGAATTCAGTAACCCTCCAAATGTTCGCAATAAAGTCCGGATTCGTAGCTGGATGGACACAATAGCAAATATCAATCAGTAAGTCAGCTAGTATTCTCTTATTGCCAAATGTTTGTTTCATCTTTCTGTTTGTGTGTGTACACGCATATGCACTTTTGTCCCATTCAATTGTGATTCAATTGAATGGGCCAGAAGACTTCCAGCTTTAAGATAATGGCATTGATTTTTCAAATAAAACAATTGGCCTAATTTGGCTCAGGAAGGAGAAGCCAATATTAAGCCAATTAATATTAAAGTCAAACACCTTTTGAAAGATTCTGATCTTTGGAGTTTTAGAAAGAATAGTAATGGTAGTAGTAATTATTATTTAAACTTGTATAATGCTGCCCAACTTGCAATGACTTTGAGCACCTTACAACAATCAAAGAAATTATAATCAAATCAATAAAACATAAAAGTTAAATAATATAAAATGTGGCATGCATGATGAAATGAGGGATCTCACACTTCCTTGCCAAAGGCCTAGGTGAAGAGCCAGTACATACATACATTCATACATACATGTATAGTTTGTATCTATTTGTGGATGAATAGATATATTAATAATTAGGCATCCTTCAACATTTATAATGATTTGTGTTTCCTTTCTTAGTGGCATGCTATAATTTTCTCAGACAGCAGACAGAATAGCCAATATCAGATTATGGGAATTGTCCAGAATATATAGCAATATTGGTTTAACATGTCTAGGATATTCAGTAGTGCTGAGGCCATTTCATAGCTTCCTTTGGAGGAATCTTATTTTAATGATGTACTGTTGTCTTCAGATATAAGGTACATTACAATTGAATCTCACCTTTAAAATTGGATTTAAATATCATTTTACCTAATTCTTTCACCTTATATTTTACACATGGAGTAAGGTTAAATGACATTCTAGCACAGCTGTACTTCTTACTTTATTGCCTGTAATAGTAGTCCATAAATTGATTCCCTTATATGTTCTGAAATTACCTTGGATCTAAATTGAAAAAGTAGATAAAATATATGGAACATGAAGACCAACAACTGCCAACAAATGTGGGAGGCTGGGAATCATAAGAGTTAGATACATCTACAGAGTGTCAGTTTGGGAACTATCTGTTTATAATTTCAGTCTCTTAGGTTGCTTTTGATAAATATCCCATTTATTTTCATATGTTTTCTTCATTTGGTCCTTCAGAGAGCTTATTAAATATGAATTCTTTCCTGAAGCCACACGAACAGAAGACGATCTAAAAAAATATACAAGATATCCATGGGGGAGAGACATTTACACTCTAGAAGGTAAGTATTATAAAGACCTTGAAAGCAGCTATATACATTTCTTAAGAAAAGAATCTCAAATTATAACCTGTATGATAGACAACAAAAAATAGCTCATTCTGACTTTAGAATTATTTTTAAAAAAATATAAATTACATTTAAAATCTAAATTATATTTAAATTTAAATATAAATTATATTTTAAAAATAATTTATTTTTCATGATGAAATGTGAACATATCTGCAAGAAGAAAAAATTCAGTTGACATATGGATAATATGCATACGATATTGCAAATGTTTTGATTTCCTTTGTTCACTACAGTTCAGCAAGGCAAAATCACAGCACAGGAGAGGAGCAATTTCCTCCCAATGGCAGACTTCTCTGAGTTAAAAGTGACATGTGTACCACAACAACACATAATGTAAAGGGCATAGAAAATATATGTAGGCCATGTTTCACCTACAAATGCGTGGTCAGATACACAAAGGAGGTGCAACTAGTGTATCTCCTCATCCTATTGTGTATATCTTGCAAATAACCAAATATCTGTATTATTTTATGAATGCTGCTTCATCAAAGATGTAAGACAGTTGTAGGCAGGACAAGTTTATTTCAACTGAAAAAAAATAAGTTCAGAGACTATTTTCTGGCTGTTCTATTGTAGGTATTGTGGATGGAGCTCCCTATTCAATGATAACTGATTTTCCATGGTTGAGGTCCCTGAGGACAGCTGATCCTAATGGCTATGCAAGATATGATTTTGAAGATGATGAAAAGAGTAAGCGAATATTTAGTGCCCTGTGTTTACCAGGCAACCTGAAGCATTGTACAGTAATGTAGTTTCATCTTAAACAAATGTAATATATTTACAGTGTTACAGGGAATGTCTTTACCTGTGTATTTTTTACTGATTATGTATGTAATTGTTTTAAATACTTCCATACCAGTAACATGGTCACTTAGGCTATTGAGTCCCTCTATTTCGAAATCTAGATCAAAGCATCCATATCCACAGTAGATAATTGTCTAAACTTAGCTTGACTAAAAGCCAGTGAAAGTTTCTCATCACTTATCATGGTGAATTGCACTTAGGATGTTTTGCCTGCAGGAACTGTCTTTCTGTAATTTATATCCATTATTCTACAACCTGACTTCTGGAATGTTAGAGGATATTTGCCCTTCATTATCAATTCAGGCAAGCTCATTTGTGAAGCAATTGACAGAGGAGATGCGTCCATGTTAGAGAATGCCATACTTGCTTAGCTGTTCACTAGCTGACTTTAAAGCATCAGTTAAAGTAAATTTTGGAATAGCATTTCCAGTCTGCTGATATAGTTATGTGTCTTGCCCTGCTTGGCTGTTGGGGTATCAGTTGACCTTCCTAAAGAAGTCAAATCTGACTGCAGCAAAACTATGGCTTTAGATGAATTTAGACAATGTATATAGGAGTGTCTAATATCTGGTGCAATGTGAAGGCCAGAATATGAAGATTGTTAGTTTGGGATAAAGAACATAGCTTAGGTTTGTTTTCAAATTCCACATAATACCCTAGTGGTTTTTTTTAAGCATTCTATATCAGTTACAGTATTTCTAAGTTTTTTTTTACCTGTAGCAATATGTCAGTTGTGGATTTTCCCCCCCATGGTTAATTGAGAAAGGAACTTAGAACACGAAAGTGTAGGAAGGCATTCTAGACTGTATTTGTATCTTTTCAAATTCTATAGAGGTATATATGAAAACATTTTATATGGCATATTGGCTTCAAATGCCACTGAAGCTCAACAAGAAAAGAAGGTCTAATCAAGCTAGGGCTTTAAAAGAACATTTATATATCTCATAATTGCACATTTAGATATCTCATAATTGCACCAGCATCATGATGTTATTAATTTTCCAGTGGAATAGCCATTTTTCTATGGTAGATTGTTAAATATGAATGTTTATGTCTGAGATAACATTTATTCTGGATTTTTTTTAAAAATTGTCATTCCAGTGACAATTGCATTTGTTTCCATTCTCTTTTTCTTTGCATCTAAAATTAGCTACTATTTATGCTCCCCGGAGAAAAGGACAACTGTCGGCAGATATCTGCATGGAAACAATAGGTGAAGAGATCTCTGAACTCCGTCAGATGAAGAAAGGGGTATTTCAGAGGGTGGTTGCTATCTTCATCCATTACTGTGATGTTAATGGGGAGCCAGTAGAAGACGATTACATCTGAATGCATCCAGCTGCAAGCTCTCTCAGGCCTTCCTGTGTTTTGACTGGCATTGCCAGCACAGAAACCAGATGGATTTCACCCACTGCTGTAGTGCACTGAGAAGTCTTCGCATTTGTGTGCTTCACAATTATCACCCCCAACATCTATTGGAAGACTGTGTAGCAAATGTATCGGAAGTTGCAGTGAATGCTGAGGACCCTACATAAAAATCCTCATGAAGTTGACTTTATTTCATATGTTTATATTACGAGATTTAATTAACATTTTATTTTAATGAAGGCAATTAATTACGGCAAGGCAAAAAAAATTGAATTTCTTAGCTCATATAATTCATAGCAGTATTTTTGTTGGTTTGCCAGAAGCAAAAACCCTACATATGTTGTGTTCAGAAGCCACAGGAGTCTTTTAATCTGTGCCTTCCCCCCCCCTCCCCCTTACACATCTAAGAGTCCATTCTGAGTAAATCTATTGAACAGCCTTTGAGTCTTGTGCGGTTTTTCAAGGGGAAGTGAAATTGGAAGACCTAAACCAGTGACAAATGGCAGAAGAGGAAAGAGCAGCCATGCAAGCAATTATCCCAGAAAACAAATTAAAACCAGTCTGAGTGTTCAAATGAAAGCACTAGTGGACTAGACGGTTCAAGGTAAATAAAAAGCAATAAACTAATAAATGAATTTCCTCTGTTGCAGTTTTCTTCTTCAGTACATATAACTTTTAGGAAAGATGCAAGTACATTCTATTTTTTTAAACTAGTCCACTAGTTTTCTATGTGTGGCTGCTCAATGTTACTTTTGCCTGAGTTCTGTAATGCTACTTTTTACATCTGTTTGATTGGATTTACCCAAAACACATTTCATGAGTCCACTTGGAACGATAATTCTGCATAGCTTTTTCAACATCTTCTGACGGGGACTGAAAAGTCTCAAAAAATACTATCTGTGTAATAGCTTGTATGCTTATAACTGGTATCATAGAAGTGAGCTAAACCAAATAATATTGCCAATAGTTATTGTCCTGTCAGAATACTTAATTCATCTGAAGTGTATAGTAATTTACTATATAATAAGTAGATTAACATTTTGTTCCTATTATGTTAATGATGTGACATTTATTTCTATTATAAGAACAGTCAAAAAAGAAGAATTGCATTTCAGTTCCATTGTTTATTTGCTGTGTTGTGAACAGGGTGTTGTGAACCCTGAAAATGACAACATATTCCTTTCTTCTCTGGATGGCCTTGAGATAGCTAAATTAGTTGCATAATTAGGCATTTCAAAAACAAGATTACCAATTCTCTCAAGTAATATATTGACACTAAACGTGACATAATCAAGGTTCAAATAAAGTACCATTGCTTAATAGCAGTTAGATATGAATAGGTTTCCTGCTCAGCAAGTGGAAATGTATGGTGATTGGTGTCCAATCGTGTTTTTCTATTATGTATGTCTCTAGAGAACTTATCTCTCTGCTTTTTCATGCTGGTCTGAAGCAATAATTATACTTTTTGCATTCATTAGTGACACTGAGAAGAGGGGTGTGTGAAAGGCAAGAATAAAAAGCATAATCAAGGATTTATGTTCTATATTAGTACAGAACTAAGCCCCATGATAAAGTTGGCTTCATTTTATTTGTATTTTTTTAACTGTATAAACAATAGTAATTTGTATGTATATTTATCTGTGGTTGAGTTGTGTTTGATGTGAGTGTCAGTGTTTGCACAAGAGCATATACGTATACTGATGTTATCTGAATCCCTTCTATTTTGCTTTTTATAAGAGCAATTAAAAGAATTGAACTTTAACTTTTCAATGGTAACCTTTGAAAGACTGAAGTAACCATTTCAAACCATAAAATCAACTGTATTTCCTTTGCAAGCCTCTTGGACCTAAGTTCATGGTTGATATATTTACAATCTATTATTCCATTAGCAAGTGTTCATCCCTTGTGTTGATACATTGACTTTAGCAATAGAACAGAGGAAATGTCCTCAAGCCCAGCCAACCACGGATGTTTTAATACTCATATTTATTTTTTGAAAAGGGTAATTGTCACTTCTAAAGTCTTTTGCTTATCAGAACTCCTCGACCTTCAAATGTTCAGATGTTCCTCAGAGGTTCTACTGGCACACTTGTTACTGATTATTTCTTCTTCCTCTTCATCTGTATTTGTTTAAAATAAATAAGGCCAGAAGTGAAAGCAAACAGAGAAACGTTTCAGGGTATAAAGAACTTCTGGGCACCCAATAAAAATGTAGAATATCTTAAAAGAACATGTAAAATTTGTTATAACCACCTTATGAAATGAATGATGTTCTCAGTTGTCTAGTTCCAATTTAAGATACCAACCCTCCCCCCAAAATTGCACCACAGCAGAAAAATGGATACACATATGGGTGATAAGGTTGTCAGAGTCTCTGCAATTCCATTCATGCTTGCATTTCGTGTCAAATATAATGTCAACCAAGGAAGGTAAGGCTGCTTGAAAAGCAGTTGTGTCTTTTTCCTTAAGCCAGCTTTTACATTGTCAAACATCCGGAGTTAATTTGGAAAAGATGGGAACATTTCTAAGAGCAAGTGATGTAGCACAATTTTATTTTAAATGCTCTACTGTTTACCAAGAAAGAGGTAAAGAGTTATAAAAATATACAGAATCAGATAATGTATTTAGAGCTCCAAATGTTTTTAAAATTGCATCTGTTAATGATTTTCAGGAAAAGAGATGTTAAACAATTTTTTTAGTTTATTACCAACGCTGAAAGTCTTCATATGTTGACAGTTGTTCCTTGATTCTATACACAATCTCTCCCAGTTAAAATGTTGCTTTGCCAGCTCTCAGGCAAGGAACCTGAAGGAACAGATGGAACAGATACAATATTAGAAAGCAAATATTTGTATAATTCCATGTAACACCTGTAAGAGGAAATTTGTTAAGGCAGATGACACCCTACTCCAAATCATATCTCCCATTTTAATAGACAGGAATAGGGAACAGTTGACAAAGCAGTCACAGAAGACTATTAATACCCTAGAAGAACTTGGAGACTAGCCAACAAAATGTGTCAAGATGAACTTTGCAAATGAATTAGGGCAAAAGATATTTTTTTTAAAAAAATGAAACTATAACTTATGAACCATTTTCATCAGTAAAGTAGAGGAAAGTCTTGAAGCAATATGAAGATCAACAAATCTCGATTTCCTGGAATACAGTTGGATGTACTGTAAAAGCAACATCTTTGGATTTTGAGATTATTAACAACTGATTTTGTTAAACTTTTTGAAAATGGTTTGCATCCCTCAACAATTACCAAGGGAAAAAAAAGATAACTGAGAAACATTAAAGATTATGTATGGGATTTGACATTGCTGTATTTTGATTCTGCTGTTGTTATTGCTGGTGTTTTTAGTATTGACACTTTATCTGAATACTGAAACTCTTTATATTTGCCTCAACAGAGATCACCCTTCACTTGATACTTCAATATTTTTTCAATTTTGTTCATTCAAGAAAATTAATGGAAGGATTAAATATGATCATTCTTAAGTCTGTAAAAGAGAATCTTATGGCTTTTTCATTACAATAGTAAAAAATAATACTAAAGTTAAAGAGAAGAAACTGAAAAGGAAAGAGAACATAGGAAAAAGAAAAGAAATATATAAAGATGTGACTTCCAACCTTTATCACAAGTATAAACAAATTTAACAATTCCCTACCCCCTATAAGATTAAATGGATCTTCCTTCATCCCATATCCCATTTTTTATCTATAAGCAAGTCCACAACACATCCACTTTTCAATCCTGGAAATAGCTATAAAGAATTGGAAAACCTTTAACCTTGATCAAATAAACCAACCTTATATTCCTACTTTTTACTTCTAACAGTTTCAATCCTTAATTAAATTGAATACTGTTATAGGATTTTATCTTGATTATTTTTCCCACTGCACAGATTTCTTCAAGGCTTTAATAAGGTTTGGCTTTTTAATATAATTTTTAATTAAAAGCTTTAGAGTATAAAAACTCCCACCAACTAATAAAAAGGGGGGGGAGGCAAAAGTGCAAAAAAAAGAATAAGAAGAGAAGCTTCTGATTACCTTTGCAACAAATATAGGTACAGTTACAAAGGTATCTCTTATTATGATTATTAAAAAAAGTTCACTCTTTTCTATTATCCAGATTTTAGTTTTAATCATTAAAAGTACAATTCATAAATGCATTTTGTTCCATTTTATGCAAAAGGTCTATAAAGGGCTTCAATCAACCATAAATGTATATATTGTTTTTTCTCTAATCAAAGAAGTTAATTTAGCCACCTACACAAGTTACATCATCTTCACCAAAACAAGCCCTTTTGTAGGTCCAATAAGAAAACATTTTCCAGGCCACTGTCATGGTTTATAATTTGTATTTTTCCTTTAATTTCCTCAGTTGGTTTCTTGTATATATCCAGCAAAACATCCTTTTCGAAATCATTTTCACAGCCTTGCCATTTGTGGTTCCACATTCTGTACTTTAAGCTATCTTATCTGATAAAAATTTGTTCCATAGCCATTATTCCTTCATTAACATATTTTAGACATGACCAGGGAAGAAGATCTTGAAGGGGCATATAAACATTGGGCTAAATGTGATGCCAGCTCAGTTGCTTTCATTCTATTTCAAATACAATAATCTTAAAAAAAAATCTTGGTGAAAAAGAAAAGGTAGAAGGCCTAATTGATCAATACACAGCACTAGCCCAAATAGTCAAGTAAACAAGTTGGCCACATTCTGTGGTTTGATAGCCCATTATTTTCAGAAAAAGATAATTGCATGCAAAAGTTTAAGGTGCTCTAACCATATTATATGCTTTGGTAAATCCTTTAGTGAACAAAAGCTGACAAAACCTCTACATGGTACGAAGTTATTTTTGATGTATATATATTTTTTATTCCTCTGAAATTTTAAAAAAGTGAATTGTGGCACTTATAGAGGTTAGGACAGTCAGTCAGTGCTTTATAGCACTTCCTTTGGCAGAAATAACAGCTTCAAGATGCTTTCTGTGGCCTGCTAAGAGTCTTTTTATTCTAAGTTTTGCAGCTGTTTTCCACTCTTTCTTAAAAAAAAAATTCTCATTTCTCATGCTTGAGCTCTGCCCACTACTCAAGACTTGGGACTGTGAAAATCAATAAATGTTTCATGGTGTAGATCTAAGGAAAATTCTTCAAGCCTTTGCCTATTGGGGGATTCTTGTTATAGGAAATCGGAATCTCACTGTATTTGTTTGAGCATTTCATTTTCTCTCTTTTTTATTGTCTTCCTAATTACATGTAATGTAAAACTGACAGCTGGTCTTTGACCATAAATAAAATGTTTGTGTGTACTTGCCTTTGTATCATTTGCCCATATCACACTTTGCAAACATTAGCAGCTTGATTTTTTTCTGGGGGGGATACATAAATTATGGTTTTCAACCCAAGATGAGGCTAATTTCTCAGTAGGAAAGGGCTGGGGGAGATAGTGGTATTTACATACAGGTACCCCTCAATTTGCAACCACAATTGGGCTCAAAATGTTAGTCATAAATCGCGTATATGAAGTGACTCAATTTTACAATCAATTTAAAATCGGCATAAAGCAAGTCATTGTGGTTATTAAGCTAATCCAGCATATCAAACAACAGTGTTTTAAAGGCCATAAAGTATCCTTTCTGAGGCTGTCATAACTTGAAATGTTGTTAACTAGTCATTAAGCGATGACTTCTTGTAGTCATGATAGAGGTAGTCCCCAACCTACGGCCACAATTGTGCCCAAAGTTTATGTTGCTAAATGAGACATTTGTTAAATGAGTTTTGCCCCCTTTTATGACTTTTTGCCACATTTATTAAGTGAATCACTGCAGTTGTTAAATTAGTAACACAGTTGTCAAGTGAATCTGGTTTCCCCATTGACTTTTTTCCATGCCATTGTAACTTCGAACAGTCTCTAAGTGAACTGTTGTAAGCTGAGTTTCCTGTAGTTTCCCAAACCTGAAACTAAGCTATAACAAAAATATAAGTAAGTTTTTTTTCATATCATAATAATATATGCTAGACTTGTTTTCCTACCAGAGCACTAGCAGTAGAGAATTCTTGTGTCCCTGCAAATCTTATAATTTGGGAACAGGGAAATCTGATCCTAAAGATGGGGTAGCAAAGCGACTTAATGGTATGAATGAGCTAGTTTTGAGAGGAATTTTTATAAATTCTAACTTTTGTGTATCTTCTATGTTTCACATATTGTGTCCCAAAAAGTTTCTAGATGCTTCTTACTCATGGGTCTTCAAACTTGGTCCTTTTATGACTTGTGGACTTCAACTCCCAGAATTCCTCAGCCAGGCATGCTGGCTGAAGAATTCTGGGAGTTGAAGTCCACAAGTCATAAAAGGGCCAGGTTTGAAGACCCCTGTTCTTACTCTTTAAGATTTGTGTGTGTGTGGCTGTATAAAAACTCCCTTTTTACATCTGTGTAATCCCTATTCAAGGTACAGTCGGGGCAACTGAATGGAGCTGAGTGTTTACTGACCGGATGCCCTTCCTGACACCTACGTGGAGTTTGCAGCAGATATTTTTTTTCTTTGTGCCCTAGGAGAGAAACATCTGCCGCTACCCAAGACTGAACTCTCAATCTTCTGAGTGGGAAGTGAGCATCTTCACCATTAGGCCACCACACCACTCACTTGCCTATGTACAGCTGTATGATTCCCTGAAACTGCTTACAGATTTGTGATGCAATTTGTAGAGTTAATCCAA